CATCTCGCTAAGATCCTCTGGCCTCCCCGGTGGGACAGGCCCCAAGCTCGGTGCTGACGGGGGGAGGGGGGTGAGACTGGGGCGGCGCTGAGAACACAGCAGTAGCGCTTCAGTTTTATAACACGCATGTAGTGAAGTGCCGGGAGTGGGTTCACGGAGCCCGAAAGGTGGGTTTTGTACCCCTCAGAGTTTCCTAATTCCTTTTGATGCTATTTTAACTCAATGGAAAAAAGAAACTTTTTAATTAGTAACCCTTTCTTTTCATGTGTTACTAAGTTTGTCGTCATCTTAATGGGCAATTGTTTCTGGAATGGAAGTATTCTTTATTCAGAAGAGTTTCGTTTTGCTTTTTAGAGTGCTGTGGCCTAGCAGCTATGAGGAAGGAACTGTTTACTGCGTTCTTCATTGTTATTCATGCTAGAGAATGCTCGTGCACACCGGGGAGAGAAAGTGAGAGCGAGATAAAGACCCTTGACAGTCTCATTGTGCCACGTTCCTCCCCATCACTCCAGCCCTCTGGGATCTCGGGCTCACACGCCTAGTACACTCCATGTTTTTCTTGGGCCGACCCAGGGATCTGAACCTGTGGTGGGCCAGATGCTTTCGGTACTGGAACTTAGTTTGCTGCCAACTGTGCTACCAGGCTGGAACTACTAGATTCTCTTAAAACACACTTTCACCTGTTTATAGTTTATTCATGGGATTGTTGGTTCAAGCCCAACGTCTGTGGCCTGGGCTGGGTACACGTGCGGGCCTGCGTATCTTGCGTTGAAGCAGAGCTCGCTCGGCAGCCGAGTAACCGTCACTCGGAGGGTGCCTCATTCGCCTGTCCACCGTGACACAGTGGTCTTACAGTAGCCCCGAAAATCCGTTCCGATTTGTGACTTCCGGACTCCTCTGAGTTACATGTGGGAACATGACAACGGGGGATGGACAGCCCCAGGCCACCCCTTTTCCTTCCTGCCATAGCTCCAACTCGTGCTTGGGGTTTTGGGCATATGCACACACTGGGCATGACCAGGTCCAGGACTTGAACCACAGTCGGCCCTGGGGGAGACCAGCGTCTTAACCACCGTGCCACCTGCTATCCTCTGGTGTTGTGTTTGTAATTTCAAATCCCACCTTTTCAGTGGTGTTTGGTAAAGTGACTAACTTCGTACCGAACCTGCATTCTGCGACCTTGGTGTAACTGCTTTTTTAGTTCCAGGAGCTGTTTTTGGATTCTTTGGGGTTTTCTACATTGAGATCATATCATCTGTGAACAAAGACAATTTTCTCCTTCTTCCATTTCTGTATGCATGTGTGTGTGTGTGTGTGTAAACATGTGCATGTGTGTGAGCGTGTGTGTGCATGAGCATGTGAGGATGTGTGTGTGAGCGTGCATGTCTGAGCGTGTGTAAGTGAGCGTGTGTGTGAGTGGGTGTGCATGCGTGTGTGAGCGTGTGTGTGCACGTGTGTGTGTGAGCGTGCATGTGTATGACTGCATTACCTAGGACTTCAGTACAGGGTCGAAAATGAGTGATGAGAAGGGTACCTTTGGCTTATTCCTGCTCTTAGAATTCGAAGATTCTCTTCCTAAGGCGTGATGTTGGCTGCAGACCTTTCTGGGGCTGTCCCCTTCGTGTAGGTCCCCTTTGCTAGGTACGTGCCGAGTTTTTGTTGCCCTCTCCTCACAGCTCAGCCCGGTCGTCCTAACAGACTTGGCGGTGCCTCTCGACCCTCGTGTCGCATGGGGGCTGGAGACAGGCCGTCTCACTAAGCTCCTCTGGCCTCCCCGGTGGGACAGGCCCCAAGCTCGGTGCTGACGGGGGGAGGGGGGTGAGACTGGGGCGGCGCTGAGAACACAGCAGTAGCGCTTCAGTTTTATAACACGCATGTAGTGAAGTGCCGGGAGTGGGTTCACGGAGCCCGAAAGGTGGGTTTTGTACCCCTCAGAGTTTCCTAATTCCTTTTGATGCTATTTTAACTCAATGGAAAAAAGAAACTTTTTAATTAGTAACCCTTTCTTTTCATGTGTTACTAAGTTTGTCGTCATCTTAATGGGCAATTGTTTCTGGAATGGAAGTATTCTTTATTCAGAAGAGTTTCGTTTTGCTTTTTAGAGTGCTGTGGCCTAGCAGCTATGAGGAAGGAACTGTTTACTGCGTTCTTCATTGTTATTCATGCTAGAGAATGCTCGTGCACACCGGGGAGAGAAAGTGAGAGCGAGATAAAGACCCTTGACAGTCTCATTGTGCCACGTTCCTCCCCATCACTCCAGCCCTCTGGGATCTCGGGCTCACACGCCTAGTACACTCCATGTTTTTCTTGGGCCGACCCAGGGATCTGAACCTGTGGTGGGCCAGATGCTTTCGGTACTGGAACTTAGTTTGCTGCCAACTGTGCTACCAGGCTGGAACTACTAGATTCTCTTAAAACACACTTTCACCTGTTTATAGTTTATTCATGGGATTGTTGGTTCAAGCCCAACGTCTGTGGCCTGGGCTGGGTACACGTGCGGGCCTGCGTATCTTGCGTTGAAGCAGAGCTCGCTCGGCAGCCGAGTAACCGTCACTCGGAGTGTGCCTCATTCGCCTGTCCACCGTGACACAGTGGTCTTACAGTAGCCCCGAAAATCCGTTCCGATTTGTGACTTCCGGACTCCTCTGAGTTACATGTGGGAACATGACAACGGGGGATGGACAGCCCCAGGCCACCCCTTTTCCTTCCTGCCATAGCTCCACCTCGTGCTGCGAAGCGTGTCCTGCCCAGCCAGGTCCCACATTCGGATGCCTGTGCTTTAAGTAGCCACTTCGTCCTGCGCTGACCCGGGGCACACGGCGGGCCGTCTGCTCTCAGGGAGATAGGAGGCCTGGGATGCAGGACT